ACAGAAGCTATAACCAAATAAGAAAAAGGGGAGGGCGATCCAATAAAAATAGAAAAGAGATCAGTGAAGCAGTGGAAGGAGATTGAGGGAAAGGGAGGAGAGTGGGAAAAGGGAGGAACTGCAGAATGAAATTGACCAAATTATGCCACATACCTAGATGAATATACCACAGTGAATTCCACCTTTATATGGAATTGTGCTTTATATCTATAAAATATAAACTTTAAAAAAGCAATAAATAAATAGAAGGAGAGCAGAGGAAGGGGAACAGGGAGAGGGAAGACAGGAAGTAAAGAGGAAGAGTACTAGGGACTACTATGGAGCAAATTATGTACCATGCACGTATGATTATGTCAAAATGAACCTCACTATTATGTATAACTATGATGCACTAATAAATATATTTTTTTAAAAAAAGAAAGTCATTTGGTCACACCCTAAATGCCTTCTCATTCTTTTCAGTATGTATAGACTGCTCCATAACTTTAAATGCTGGTTTCTTTTTGCTGAAAAATTCTATCTTTAGGTCATTTCTCTCTTCTTGAGGTTGACTCTAAGTAGTCAGGAGGAGCTGGTCTGATCCTTCAACATTTTTCTTAGAAAATTCCTCAGGCAAATATCCAATTTCATCACTTGCAAGTTGTACCTTACACAAAACACTAGAATGCACACAACTCAGCCAAGTTCTTTGCCACTTTTTAACAAGAATGACCTTTCCTCCAGTGCCCAATAACATGTTCCTTATTTCTGTCTGAGACCTCCACAGAATGGCCTTTGCCATCTATATTGCTACCAACATTCTGTTCGTCATTACTCAGGCATTCCCTAAGATTGAGGTTTACACTCCAGCTCTATTTTCTTCTGAACCTTCACCAGAATTGCCCTTAACATCCATATTTCTAGCATGTTCCTCAAAACCCCTCTTCCTCTATTCAATACCCAGTTCCCAAACTGTTTTCACATTTTCAGATATTTCTTACTGCAGCATTCCCCTTCTTAGTACCAATTTCTGTTTTTGCCCATCAGGTTGCTATTACAGAATACTATAGACTAACTGGCTTATAAACAACAGAAATTTATTTCTTATAGTAGTAGAGCCTGGAAAGTCTCAGATCAAGGTGCTCAGAGATCCATTATCTGGTGAGGGCACTCTTCCTGGTTTGGAGACAGCCCTTTTCTCCTTGTATCTTCACATGGTACCAGTGCCTGGGGAGCCCTCTGAAATCTCTTTAAGAGAACACTAATCCAATTCATGAGAACTCTACCTTCATCATCTAATCACCTCTCAAAAACCCCATCTCCAACTACTGTCACACTGGGTATTAGATTTCAGCATATGAATTTTAGGGGCCTTTTTTAGGGGGACACAAACATTCAGTCTACAGGAACAATTGGTGGTGATGAATCAACTATAATGATGCAAAAGGAGACTAAACAAAAGGATCCAGAAAATAAATGTATACAAAGATAAATTCATCTAAGAAGTTCAGTAAAGCCAAACACACACACACACACACACACACACAAGTTGCCAAGAGACTCTAATTCCAAAAAAGGACTGAAATTCTCACATAAATCTATACAAACTCTATGCCTACAGGACAGACTTGGCAGAAAAACTTCTCAAGGTCTCGATACTTAAGTTAGGTATGGTCTGTACCTTTTAACCAAGATAGAAAAAGAAAACATAAGGGAAATCAAGAGTAATATGAAACTATTTCATCTGTATTATAATTATATTCAATTAATTTCAATAAGCAATAAGCATCCACTAACCCTTCAATACCCCAAGCAATATGTTCTGAGTAGTGGAGGAGCATCAAGAGTGAATAAGACAAGGTTTCTGCCATCAAGGAACTTATGATGAATAAATCACAGACTTGTAGAAAAATTTGCTTTAGGCAAATTGATTTCCTCAATTGACTTTTGGTGAATTTAATTTGGCTAAACGACTTTGGGGAATTGAACTTCAGCAAATTGATCTGCTGCCCATGTGAGCTACTAACTTTAGGAGATCATAATGGTGTAAAGGAATACAAATAAGCTCCTTTTGGAGCTGAGAAGTAGGAGAAAATCATGTCTATGGGGGCATTCAAATGGGCCTTGAGGAATGAGTAGGAGTTTATCATGAGATGAAGGTAATCACATGGCACAGAAATGAAATGCCAGGCCTGTTTTGTAATATCAAAGTCCACAGCTCAAGCAGGTGGAGGCCCTATTCATGCCCTCAAATTAACCAAAAAAGAAAAAATTCTAGTTCCTATTCTCATTTCAAAAAAGATGGTTCTAGATGATCAGAAAAAGCACAAGAATAAAGGCTGCCAAATTAAAGCCACCATCTTTTTTTCAGTGTGTCTATCAGACCTTCTGTTTGCTGCCATCCTGATCCTATCTGCCCCCACCCCCATCAAAGTCTGGAGAACACAGCTGGCATCTCCCAGGCACAAGAGAGTGTTTCTCAGAACATCAGTCCCTGTCCAGGCCAATACAAAGGCAATGAAAGGAGGCCTTATTCCCTCATTTCCCCAATTTGCAGAAAGCCCTTCAGTATCCAAGTCTGGAATTCCTCTTCCCAATTTCTTGTTTTAGTCATAAAACAACTCTCTTAAAGATAATATGCCTTTTTAAAAAAGAAACAATCCACCCTTAAACTTATTCAAATCAAGTTAGCTATGAGTTTGCCCTCTCTGGCCTTTTATCAGAGGAGAGTATAAGGCCACTGAATTCCCTATTCAGATGGCTAAGTTTTCTGAACATCCGGGCAGTTTATCATGTCACTCAAGTGGATCATTTTTTTCTAAATAATTTTTTTTCTCTTTCTGTTTCTCTCTGCATTGGAGCCTCCACCCATGAAATTGAAAGATTTCTAGTAGAAATTCCTTTGTTGCATCAGCTTTGGAAATATGGATTACAGTATTCTGTGAAAAACATTTATTACCCTGAACTGTGACTCAGGCGTTGTTGCATTTCTGGGGTTATAGATTTTCTTTCAGCTAAACTAAGGCTCTAAGTCACAGTGACAGTTGTAATGTGTGTAATACCACAGTACCAGATTCTATTACACACATATTTTTGCTAGAGGTTTTACGATGTTAAAAATATTTCTTCTTTTTTCCAATACCTTTCTGTACCTGTTGTGTAAATATATTAGAACCTATAACACCAAAGTCAATTTCCAGATGAAATGTGCACAACAACAGTAGTTTGTCCTTTAAAGAAAAAAAAAAAGGAAGGGGATGCTGCATACAAGCTAATGATATTCAAGCACAATATTGAATTGTAATAAAAGATGAATGAGAGAAAGTGTGTGTCATTGTGAGGGATGGAGAAGGTTGCAAAAAGCTGAGGCCAGGAAAGGATTTATCATGGACGTTGCTGCAGGCATTGTGTTGAAAAATCTGCAGACTTATTTGCAAGTGTATTTTATGGGGAAACAGAGCAGTCTACAGAGGAAAGAATTTCTAAAGATTATCTTTTATACAAGATTAAGATAAAACTTAAGAAACATGTGAGAGAAATCTCAACAGATTCTCAAGGGGGTGGAACTTCAAATTCATCAGTGGGTCCTGTTGGTTCCATAAGTACAGGGAGAGGTCTTTGTTAAAGTGCTAGTGGTACAATAATTTTTCAAGGTAGGTAAGAAAAGGCACACAAGAGAAAAACGAAGTGGACTTAATTAGCACACTCACTTGCAAAGCCTTAATCCATTAGAGTCATGCCAACAAATCCTTCCACTTTTCTTTAGAATCCGAATTTTATTTAACACTCAAAACAGTTCTCCTGGGTCTTTAAACATATTGCTATCTTTCCCCTAAAAGAATCCAGTGTGACTAATACTTTTATGGGGAAAAAAAAATCTGATTGCAGTTGACTAAATCTTCTGAGACAGAGAATGAAAAGATAACGAGAAGGGAGATATTTTAAATTCCTCCCTTTGACTGTTTTAGCTTCTTACAATTTTCAATCTTTTCCTCATTCAGTAATAAAAGCAAAATTAACTGAGTTTCACCTTATCTTCCCTTCCATAGCTTCTACATTCATAAGGAAGTGGTCAACGATAAAACAATCTAAAGCAGACAGAATGAGAAGAACAAGGAGGCAGATCAAGTCAGACATCCAGCTCCAAATTCCTCAGAGTTTGGTGATGCTCACCTCAGAGTTTGTTCTCAGAGATAGAAAGTATAATTGTGACTTGTGTCCGGTTTCAGTTTATTCAGTAATTACTAAAGAAAACCCTAACAACATATGGAACTGGAGTGGTTTTTTAGTGGTGTTTTGCTTTTATTTTGTTTGTAAGGGAATCTTATTTCACTGTCATGTTTCAAAAGTAAACCTAGCTGTCTCTATGGCACATGACTGTAATCTCAGTGGCTTGGGAGGCTGAGGCAGGAGGATGGCAAGTTCAGAGCCAGCCTCAGCAAAAGCGAGGCACTAAGCAACTCAGTGAGACCCTGTCTCTAAAAAAAATACAAAATAAGGCTGGGGATGTGGCTCAGTGATTGAGTGCCCCTGAGTTCAATCCCTGGTAACCCCTCCCCCCAAAAAAAGTAAACTAGAACACAGTAAACAGAAAAACATTAAAATTCCTATCTGTAATGAATATCTAGTATTTGTTTATAGAGTATTATTTACCATAACTAATAATTCTAATAATTATTTACCATAACTTAAGTATATAAATGGTACCATAAAAATATTTATATCCTTGGGCTGCAGTTGTAACTCAGTGGTAGAGCGCCCACATAGCAAATGTAGGCCCTGGGTTCGATCCTCAGCACCACATAAAAATAAGTAAATAAAATAAAGGATGTATCCATCTATGATTAAAAAAATATATTTTAAAAAAGTTTACATCCTTCAATTTAGTAATTCTACTTGTATGAATTTCTTCAAAGAAAATGATCCAAAAGGAAAAAAAAAAAAAAAACTTGCACGCTTGAATATTTTATTTGAAAGACTCTTTCCTATACAAAGGGAGAAAATGTTTTTTAGTTACTTACCAAATAGCTGGATTGTCTTCTGATCCCCTTGATAATTTGTTTAGGTGGCAGTGGCCCAATCTCAGAGGTAAATCATGGCAATTATCAGTCCAAGAATGTCCATAAGACCTAGTTTTGGACAGGGAGGTATAAGGGAAAGCCTACTTCAAAAGGATTCCCAGATGTATAAATACTAAATCAAAGAGTATAAGTATTTTTACAGCTCTTAATAATTGGCAAAGTTTTCCTTCCCTCCCCCATCCCAAACCCCCACCTTCACACCCTCCAAAAAAAAAGCATATTTTAAGCTAGGGGCAATGTCAGGCACCTGAAGTCCCAGCTACTCAGGAGGCTGAAACAGGAGGATGGGAGGTTGGCTTGAGACCAGGCATTCAAGGACAGCCTGGGTAACACAGAAAGACCCTGTCTCTGGGGGTGGGGGTGGGGGGGACTTTTAAGCATATTTTTATAACATACCTTTTCTATCTATCTGTCTTCCCACTTAGGATTAAGCTATATGGAGGCCATTTGGCCATTTGGAGTTTCAGCAGCCATCTCAGAACTACTCTGGAACATCCTAATGAGTCACCATGAAATCAACTCTGATCAACCCTTGGAACCACATACTTTACTTCCAGTTAGAATGTCTTTGTGCTTCTAACTGAAGTACTTCTAACTGAAGTACTTCTAACTGAAGTACATGAATGTAATAAGATATTATGTTTCAAAATGAGGTTTATAAAATTAATTTACGATGGAAAAGCTTATGATAAAACATTAAGTAGGGGCTGGAGCTGTGACTCAGTGGTAGAGCGCTTGCCTCATAAGCATGAGGCACTGGGTTTAATCCTAAGCACCACATAAAAATAAATAATATAAAGATATTGTGTCCATCTATAACTAAAAAAAAATTTTAAAAACATTAAGTATGGACTCCAGTTGTGGCTCAGTGGTAGAGTGCTAACTTGGCATGTGCAAGAACCTGGGTTCTATCCTCAGCACCACATAAAAATAAATAAATAAAATAAAGGTATTGTGTCCAACTACAGCTAAAAAATAAATATTTTTTAAAAATTAAGTAAAAGAATAGCAGGTTAAGCTCTGAACTTAAACACAATATCAGCCTCACATGAACAAATCCACAGGGAAAAAAGCAATATAGAAATGAAATAAACAAGATAAAACATTAAGAATATTTACCTCTAGATGATTGGACCATAAGCCCATGCTTCTTTGTGTTTTCCTGTATTTTCCCAGTTTTATATAATGAGTTGCTTTTATTATTAGAAGAAAAATAACAAAAAAGACTTGTGAGTTCAGAGAACAAAATTGAGAAACTCTATACTAACTCAAAAATAATACCTAGTGTGAATAAGAGCAAATATTCTTTTTAGCCTAGGGCAGTAGATTTTGATCACCTCCAAAGCCCTCACTTATTTTTGTAGCCAGAGGGGGGATACTGTTGAATTAAGAGCAACCTCTGATAACTGGATTATCTATTCTTACCAATAAGAGAACAACCACAACTTTTTCTTTTAAAAAATAAAACTGATTTTTACAAAAGTAACCCCTGCTCATTGTTTTAAAAAAAAAAATCAAGCAAAGAAGAATATTTTGTCAAAGCAAAAGTTCCCTACCACACCAATCCTGGGAAGTAACCATTGCAAGTGTGCATCTTCCCAAATATTCTGCTAGAGTATATACAAACTTTTCTAAACAAACATGAGCCCTTCCTATGTAAACTAGCACAAAAGTTGACCTTTTTTCCTTCCTTGACATTATATTGTAGACATTTTTCTATGTCTACATGTAAGATTACTTCATTCTTTATAATGGCAGTATGATGCTCTATATAAAATGGGTGAACTACAATTTATTTAATGGACATTACATTGTTTAAAATTTTTCTCTATTACAGGGTTTGAAGGGGCTATCAATAACACCTTCCATTTTCCTATTGGATTTCATATTGAAAGACAATGACACAGGACAGGGACATAGAGAAATTAGAATGAACAGAATGAATTCAGACTTTCCTCTGGAAACATAAACCAAGCAACCTATTCCTTGAGCTTCTCTAACACTATGTTCTAGTGAAATTATTTATCTAGCTGGACAGAATTACAATAATAAAACAGCAATATATAACTGGGAGCCAAGAAGTCAAATTTGACACCTAGCTATTCCAATTGATAATCTGGGTTAACTGAAACAATCCACCCATTCTCTCTAAACTCCAGTGGCTTCTTCTATCAAATGGCAGTGCAAGGAGATGAACCAGCTCAGTTCAGTTTTCAGGATTTTTTTTTATTAGAAGAACCTCATATAAGCACAAAATGTAAAAAGTAAAAAGAATAATTGTCTGAAACCAGAATGGAAGATTCCAAGATCCCATATGACCTAGAGCTGGTCCTCTGCAGTGTCCCCTCTCTCCACCCCAAGTATTCAAATGGAACTCTTAAGATCTTACTTGGCCCAGCTTAAAAACCACTGAGCTTAGGGCTAGGGTTGTGACTCTGTGGTAGAGCACTTGCCTAGCATGTGGAAGGCACTAGGTTCAATTCTCAGCACTGCATGTAAATAAATGAATACAATAAAGGTCCATCAACCACTAAAAATATATTTTAAAAAAACCACTGAGCTTAGAAGAAGCTTAGAAGCCCCAGCCCTAACTTAATGTTAATCATAAAAAAGTACTTTTTTTAATCATAAAAAAGTACTTCCCTGTATGGATCTAAACCATCAGAATTTAAATAAATGGCAATTCTGACTTACTCTAATACATAAACAAGTGCTTCTATATTTCCCAAGTCTGTTTAACTCAAGTGTGCTTCTAAAAATTGAAGATAAGTTATTAAAAACTCATATAAATAGCATTTCTAACATCTATAACTAGAGGATCCTAAGTTAGAATGGATCTAGGACTTCTAGAAGCCTTAAATCATACATATTGGGGAAAATGTCTAATGTTAATTTTTATAAGATTACCTTGTTGGAACCATAAGATCAAGCCTTGCCCTGGATGTAAAGGTGGGATTGCCTCATGATGGATTTGGTCACTTACATCATTGGCTTGAGGAGACATCAACCCGAAAGTAGAAAATAAGGACTTTGGGAAGTAGCTTTAAATGAGGTTAGGAAAAAATATCTCCAGGATTGACTCATAATTTGTCAATCTCAGGGCAAAACGAAAATGTAGGGTCTTTGTTCAACAATTAAGAATTTCAATTTGCGGGGCTAGGGATATAGCTCAGTTGGTAGAATGCTTGCCTAGCATTCATAAGGCACTGGGTTCAATCCCCAGCACCACCAGGGAAAAAAGAAAAAAAAAAAGAATGAATTTCAATTTGGCTAAAAGAGATCATCAAGTAAGTGTGGGGATTCTAAGAATGAGACTTTGGGCACCCACCCAGGTGGCTCAGCTGCCTGTGACGCTGAGTATTCAACATTTAACATTGTGCCCCTAATGGTGAATTTGTCCTAGACTGAAAAAATGGTGATGCCTGAGGAATACTTAGTGTGAGCATGAAAAAGGAGAATTTAAGTTGACTCTGGCCTCAGAAGTGCTTGGGAGCAAAACAATGAACTGTAAGAAACCTGAGTTCTGGTCTATGGAGTAGACAGGTAAATCAGTCACCGCCCTCTCAGTATCCAGGAGCCTTCAGTGAATCTTCAGTATGACAGATTGAACCCAGAGGTGCTTTGCCACTGAGCCATATCCCCAGAACTTTTTATTTTTTATTTTGAGACAGTATCTCACCAAGTTGCTGAGGCTGGTCTTGAACTTGCAATCCTCCTGCCTCAGCTTCTCAATAACTGGTTTTACAGTTATGCACCACCACACCCAGCCAGTGAATCTTCCTAAAATGGACTCTGCCCAGGCTGTAGACTTTTGGAAAAGATCCTCACAAAATAACAAAAAGTAAGAGCCCAACCTCCTCTCCAGGGACCTCAGGGTGAATTACCAGCAGGGGACAGCTGTACCTAACATGAAAGGGTAACCATGAGCAAAGAACCATGAAACAATGTGTTAAGGGTAGGAGAGATCTGTATCAAGTGCTATGCAAACACTCATGCCAGCCCGGTGCTCCTCTCCACCTGGAGATTGGTCAGGGTAACAGCAGTAAGAAAGTAACAACTGGACAATCCTGGAAAGAAAGGGCTGATGGTCATGGGAAGCATCACGAGAGGAGAAACAAGTAAATTGTCAAACATGTTCTTCTGTGACCTTGGCTTGTAGCTTCTTTGAAACTGTCCTCCAAAAAGTTCTCCATCCTTACTCTGATATGGGATTTTCTTCATTATGATTTGGGGGAAACTACCCATTGACTGATAGTGAATTAGTGAAACAGAGATTTGGGAGTTCTTTGTTAAAGATTTTTCAGCTTCTGTGTTAGGTAACCATTAGAATCAATGAATGACATACACAAGGCTGTTAGGGTAAATGATTTCACCTTGGTCCTAGAACAATTTCAATGGCACTGTTTTGCTGAATTCCAGATTCCACCAAAGACTGTAGGCAACTGAAATGCATCAAGCCTTCACAGCATAGCAATGTCTATATTACTAATGTCAGCTATAACCTTGACTTTTGTACCCAAGTCTGTCTCAGTAGTCTCTGGATTTATCCACACAAACCTAAACAAAAACATATTTGTTTGGGTCACTCCTAAAGAATACTCACTTGTAAGAAAGAAAGAAAAAAAAAAGATGGACAATACAAGCTTGAAAAACACCTTGTGGGGGAACATGGAAAAGGAGAGTTACATCATTCATCTCACAAACAATACAAAACTTTCTTTTCTCAAGGTCTTTTTTTCTGCTTTGGCCAGCTCTAGGAATTTCCCTTTCTCCCTTCCCATACTGAGCCCCGTTTCCAGGTACCTCTCATCACTTGCTACACCCTGAGCTCTCAATACTTTCCTCTTCTGTTATGCCAGGAAATTCTATTCTGCTCCATCTCTTATTCCAAATTAATATGTCCATACTCTTAACAAGATTCATGTTTCTAAGACCTTAGATTGATGACTTTTGGGGGCTGGGAAGTCCTCCCTCTTTACCACAAAGGATGTTTATTCCCCAAGAGGAATTCTAGTGAATCCAAGTATTTGCTTACAAAAGAAGAGGTTGTTGTTCTTTATGGAGTACTGATCTTCACATACTCCCTTGGGTTTATACAAAGTGTTCCTAACCTTTTTTTTTTTTTTTGTCCCAGGAATTGAACCCAGGGGCACTTAACCACTGAGCCATATCCCCAGTCCTTTTTATATTTTATTTTGAGACAGGGTCTCACTAAGTTGCTGAGGGCCTTACTAACATGCTAAGTCTGGCTTTGAACTCACAATCTTCCTGCCTCAGCCTCCCAAGCCACCAGGATTACAGGTATGCTGTTCGTCCATTTTTTGTCATTGTTGTTGTTTTTTTGTTTTGGGGTTTTTTTGGGGGGAGGAGGGGGGTATTTGGCTCAGAATGCCCTTTAAGAGCATAAATGGTCCCTAAAATATTTCTTTCAACTAATTGCTCTTGCCTAAATATCACCAGTGTCATCCAGTGCCTACTGGATAAAGGCCAGAACTTAGGCCCTCTACCATTTGATCCAGCCTGAGATCACTCTCCCAGAGGACCCTCTGCTTCTGCTCAGGTGAGTGAACATCACTCCTCCACCTCCCTATCCTGACCCTCTGCCTGAAATGCTTCCTCACCACCTCTGCCTAAAAGTCTCACCCATTTGCTAGAGTTCCATGTGTTTTTCCTTGTTTTGTTTTGTCTCTTTTCCACACTTATTTGTCTGCAATAAATGTGTATTATTTATGTTGCTTTTAACGTTATTTTTAATTTTTAAAGAAACATTTAGCCCATCTTTCAAAACACTATTTAAATTTTCCTTCCACCAGAATTCTCCCAGATGGAAAATGTTAATAATAGCAGCTAACATTTATTACACACTTACCAAGAGCCCACCACTGTGCTAAATGTTTATATATAAAAATATTATCTCATTTACTCTTCAAAGCCACCCTATGAGATGTTCTAAACCCACAAATTAGAAAACTAAAAGTCTGAGAGAGTGTTATGTCACTTACACAGTTCTCACTGTTGGCAATCATCAGAGGTAAGGTGTGACCACAGCTCATTGACCCCTAGAGCTGCTCTTATCAACCACTTTCCTTAAGATGGTCCTTAAGGCATTAGCCATGGGCTGCCTTTTATTGTAGATAATTATTTGTCTATTTCTTCTCCTACACTCTAACTTCCTTGAATGTGTTTTGAGGTCTTTCAGAATGTCTAGCATAGATGTCTATACATAATGATAAGTGTACTGAATTTTCCAGATGAAAAAACTAAGGCCCAATTTGACGGGAAAAGGATGGAACTGGAGAATATTATGCTAAGTGAAATAAGCCAATCCCAAAAAAACAAAAGCCAGATGTTTTCTCTGATATTCGGATGCTAATTCACAATAAGGGAGAAGCAGCTACGGAAGAATAGAGGCACTCTGGATTAGACAAAGGGGAGTGAAGGGAAGAGAGGGGGCATGGAGTTAGGAATAATAATAGAATGAATCGGACATTATTACCCTATGTGCATATATGATTACATGACTGGCTTAAGGTGTAACTCTACATCATGTACAACCAGAAGAATGAGAAGTTATACTCCATTTGCATATGATGTGTCAAATGCATTCTACTGTCATGTATAACTAATTAGAACAAATTTTTAAAATAATGTAAAAAAAGAAAAAGAAAAGGCCCAGAGAGAAGCAACTTGCCTGAGTTCCCATAGCCATTCTGGGACAAAAACCACCAAGTCCTGAGTTAGCCCTGGTATCTTTTCGTCACACACATTGTCAGTGCTTGATGTATATTTATTGAATGAATTTATTTCGTGGGCCTTCTTTATCTGATCCCCTCAAGCCACACAGTTTAGTCATAATTGGAAGTCACAATGAATATTAATAATAATTGGGAATCTAAATTACAATTTGATAACTCACTTTCCCAAGTAGATTGAGTTGGTGAGATAAAAGTTAATGCATAATATGATAGAGTTCTCTGCCAATTTTTATTTGATGAATGTGAAATAATTTTAAAGAACTGAAAAAATAGTGGAAATATTAGTAGTGGTAAGAGATGTTACATGAAAGGTTGGCTTAATTAAATTGAGAACCATATTTTTCATTAGAACACACATGTGTAAATTTAATCATCAAAGAACACTGAAATTCAAAGTACTTTTTATGTATGTATATATTTAATGATTAAGATTATTGGAAAGTTACTTTCTTAAGTGATGCACATCCAGAAAAAAAATATCTAATGCAATAATTCTGTTTACCACAGAAACTATGGTTTAATCTCCTACATCAGAGCAGCTGAAAACACTGAATCTATGCTGTGAGCCCTCTTCCAAACCTCAGGCATAGGTTTGACAATCAAACCTATATAGAGATCAAATTTCTATATGATTCTACCTGAATCATAGAAAGACCCCTTAGGTGCAATTTTTGTGTTGAATAAAGAGAATTATTTCACCTTTAAAAATATCATGCAACAGGCTAGGTTTGTGGCTCAGAGATAGAATGCTCACCTAGCATGCATGAGGCACTGGGTTTGATCCTCAGCACCATGTGAAAATAAAATAACCATATTAAAAAATATCATACAAATAGTATATGTTTGTTATTTTGAAAAATTAGGAAAACAAAATCATCTCAATCCCATTATCAAGTGATAATCAATATAAACATGTTTATCTTCTTAAAGAATGGGATTACACTTTACACATTGTTTTAGAAGCTGCTTTTTTTTTTACTAGAGAGAGAGAGAGAAAGAGAGAGAGAGAATTGTTTTAATATTTATTTTTTAGTTTTTGGCAGACACAACATCTTTATTTGTATGTGTTGCTGAGGATCGAACCCAGCACCACATGCATGCCAGGCGAGCGTGTTACTGCTTGAGCCACATCCCCAGTCCCAAGAAGCTGCTTTTTTAACTTAACATATTGTTAATATTTTTATAACAGTTAAATTTACACATACATTACTGTTTAATGTCCACATAGCATACCATTATAATATCTGCATAAAAATTTGAAGTAGGGTGTAGACACATGACCATAAGACAGGAGTGTAAGATGGCTTGTGTGGAAGCTTTGGGCTGAGGTCTTGGGATAAGACATTGTAGCATATGTTCTCATTGCTTAATTTCTCTGGGCTCATTCTTCTTTTCTCCTGCAGCTACTGTGGACAATTCTTCTATATAGTACCTCAGTAGGACTCCATTAAGATTGACCCCCAATTGCCTATAGCTTTGGGTGATACCCCTGAACACTTGGTAGAATTTTTAAGTACAATGTGATTCCAATAACTAATCTCTCTCCCACATGGAGAACAGTTGGTACCACAAATATCACTCTCTCCACCAAGTCACCTATAAATTCATCGAGCATCCATCTTGAGTAGCACAGGGTTCCCATTTCTCTCTGTTCTCTCTCTCTTCTCCTACTTGGTCCCCTCAAACTTTCCCCAGGGTCCCAGCTCCAACTTGATGAAGACTGAGGTTGTGAGCAGAGTTCTAGACCCTATCTAGATAGGGCAAGGAACATCAGGTCTTAAGGAAGCTTGAAATCTTTAGAGTTGTTCAGAGTAAATATCCACAAGCAAACAAACTTCCTCTTGCTAATATTGACCACACTCACGAGCACCACATCTCATATATTTCAGATCCAATCCTTGCCTTATCCATTTACTCAGTCTTCTGCTATTTATATTTCTCTTTAAGTTAACTCATTTTCTTAAAACTTAAAGAAATGAGACTACATCATAATCAACAATATCCATAAAAATCATATTTTTATGCTGGTTATATTTTTCTCATGATTATTCAAACAAACACCTCATTATTAAAATAAGAAAGGTTTATCCATGTACCAACTGAAATCATCCCAGTGGTACACACATGCCACAATTTGGAAAATATCATATTTTATAAATAAAGAACACAGACAAAATTTCAAGTAAGGCTCTGTTGTTTACTAAAATCTGCAGGGAAGAGGAAGAAAGCACACACACTCAGCATGTCTCAACTCCCTGCCCTTCTTAGAAGCTTAAAATAAACAAATATTCTTTACACATTTTTATGTGGAACAAATATGAAGAACTAGCTTAGTGACTTGAGCAAGCTATATAAGAGGTCTTTTCCAAGAACTGTTTTTCTTTCAGTCAAGGGTGTCTTGGATTCGGTGAGCCTGTGGAGAGAAGTCTCTCATTACCAACAGGAAGTGGGTACTTCTAGCAGGGCTGGCAAGTAGAATCTTCCACAACTCATAACTTGATTTGGTCACAGCATTGTTATTCAAGAAAATCTCTATAGTCTCCCTTCTTCTGTCTTACCAAAGACCTTATTCCTTTTGGAAAAAGGGGAGGAGGAGGGACAAGGAAAAAAAGGAAGGGATGAGAAAACCCCATCTTGCCACATCTGAACTGAATGTCTCAGCCAGTCTCCATGCCTTGTGCTTCTTGGTTTAGGGAATAGAAAATGCTACCAGCATGCAGCCTCCTGGCCATGATGTGGTGCGAGACAGAATTCAGACAAAACCCAGTGGAAGTCCTTGGAGGAGGACCCACTTCCTCAATGATGACTGGCATGACACAGAAAGCAAGTGTAGGTAGGAATGACCTCCTGGGATGTACCACCAAACTAGTAAAGCAACATGCTGCCTGCCACCTGATGCCTCCACCTACAATGTCCAGATCTGCCACCTCTCTCTCAGGTCTCACAATCATGTGTCTTAAACTTCAAAAGAACTGGCTAGACAAAAAAACAAAGTGAATTTTTTACATATTAAGCATGTAAAATCATCTCAAATTTTTGTGGGTTTTAAGGTTATTATAAATGTAGTTGGTGCTAAATATAGAAATTTTTTATTTTAGATTTTCCGAATCTGAAAACATAAAGAATAAAAAAAAAACCCAAAGTAATTGTCATTGTTACCATTTTAATAGGCTTGTCTCCAGTTTCTGTACATTTTCAGACCCTTAAAAGCATATCATGTTTTTAATTTTTATAAAAATTTTTGTATAAATATTTCATGTTTCTTATTATGAAAGTATGATATATTCATTTAAGTGAACATAGAAAAAAGAACATTCATGATCCCACCACCCTGGGGCAACAATCATTAATATTTAATATAGGTTTTTATCCTGACTCATTTACTTAAGTTTCTACACAAGCATTAAAATTTTGACAAACAGCCAGGCACAGTGGCACACACCTGTAATCCCAGGGTCACAGGAGGCTAAGGAGGAGGATCGCAAGTTCAAAGCCAGCCTCAGCGAAAGTGAGGTACTAAGCAACTCAGTGATACTCTGTCTCTAAATAAAATACAAAATTGGGCTGGGGATGTGGCTCAGTGACCCTGAGTTCAATCCCTGGTACCCGACTGCCAAAATTTTTTGTTTGTAAAAATAAACATCATTTGGTTGGGAGAGGGGAATTATAATTAACTTATTTTTTGTTAAACTTATTGAGGCATAATTTATATTTATAGTATAACAGTATAATTTTAAATTTATATATAAATTGTATATGCTATAAAATTTATATTACAATTTATAGTAAAATTTTATTTGTAGTAAAATTCACCACTTTTGGTGTGCAGTATGATGAGCTTTGACAAATACATAAAGTTGAATAACCATGACCCAAATGAAACATGTTTCACCAGTATTTTCATCATCCCAAACATTTCCCTCATGCTCCTTTTGTCTATTGATAAACATTACTTTTAAGAACTACAAAATATTCTGTTTCGATGACTAGATAAAGGAAATGTGGTACAAATACGCAATGGAGTTGTATTCATCCATAAAGAAAAAACGATGTCATTTGCAGGAAAATGGGTATATCTGGAGGTATTGTGCTAAGTGAAATGAGCCAGACTCAGACAAGTATCAAATGATTTTCTCTTATATGTGAAAGCTATAAGAGAAAATAAATGAGAGGAAAAGAAAAAAAGAAAAGAAAAGTCAAGTCATGAAAACAGGAAGAGCAATATTAAGGTAGAGGAAAAGGATCAGGAGGGAGGGAGGGAGGGGAAGGGTAAGGGAAGGTATTAGAGAGTACAGCTGACCACTTTCTGTTATTGTATGTGAATACACCACAATGAAACCCACATAATTCACATATGCCAATTAAACAGTTTTTAAGTCAGATAGGGCTTAGTGGTTAAAACAAGAGCAAGGGTTATTTGTTATGATTCTCTCCTGTGATCTGGTAATTAACATTGCATATTGCAAAAAATAAATGATTCTACCCTTCAGAGATCAGAAAAAGAACCACACTTTCTTCATCATGATGTAGATAAGCACTATCTTGTAAACTGTAATAAAACCAAATATTTTAAAATACAGTTTTATACCCTCTGGTTTAGTTCTATTAGAAATTCCATAATGTATGACTGATGATTTGTGAAAATATAACCTAAAAGAGAAAAATATTGAGAATATAATAAATAATGGCACTAAAAATACTGTTTTGTGTCTATAACATAATTCACTGTTGTTCCTAGTATTTAATTATGTACAAGGATATAATTATCATTCCTGTGAATAAATCTTTATTAACATTTTCTTTTTAAAGATTTATTTTTAATATTTTTAGTTGTCAATGGACCTTTATTTTATGTATTCATATGTAATGCTGAGAATTGAACCCAATGTCTCACACATGCTAGACAAGCACTCTACCACTGAGCCACAACCTCAGCCCCCCAACATTTTCAATGACTGCTCTAAGACACATCCCAGAAGTTGGATTACTGGGTCAAAGGGGGTTTTTGGTTGGTTGTGCTTTGAATTAATGTAAAGCTCTTAATACACTTTCCTATCTGTTTTCCAGAAAGTTTTTACCATTTTATACTTGTGCCACCAGCATATGAAAAAACTGCTTTATGACATGCCTTGCCAGTTAAGAATGTCCTCATTCTATAATCTTTTCAAATATGATATGTGAAGAATAGCATTGTATGCATTAAATTTGGTAGCTTTTATCAGTGAAGTTGAGTGTGTTTAAAAATTTGTTAGCCATTTATATATATTTTATGAATACCTATGTCCTTGACTGTGATCTTAAAAAATTAAGATTTTTTTTAATAATAACTAAAGTTAATTATTGACTCCTAAGAGCCTTATCTACATTGAGGTTATTAACCCTGTGTCTTCATACTTATTTCCAACATTTTCTTCAGAAGATAAATTATATGTCTTCAAATTTTAATTATATTTTAAACATGAAAGATCAAGTCCATTGGTCCCTTCATTTGAGATCAAGAAATTAAATCTATTTCCTACATCCACAATATAATACTGTAATGACCAAGAAGTTATAGGATGGACCTTTTCGATTGCATTTAATTTTATTTTCAAAATGACTTGTCAAATGTTTCTCTATGGGTGGCTTAATTTTTATATCTCCAGAATCATTTGAGGTGAATTAATAAATCAGATCAAAATTTTTATCAGAGTTTGTCTCAGTTAAAGTTTTTTAAAGAGAATTTTCTTTAAGAAAATGAAAAGACAAGACATAAATTAGAAAAAACTCCTTTCAAAAACACATATTGATAAAGGACTTGTAACCAAAATATACAAAGAACTCCCAATATTCAACAATAAGAAATTCATCAAGTCAATTAAAAAGTATGTAAAGATCTGGAGACACCTCACCAAAGAAAACATACAAATGGCAAATAAACATATGAAAAAATGATCAAAATTTTATATAATTAGAGTATTACAATTTAAAACAACAAGTAGGAAGTACTACAAGCCTACTAGAGTGGCTAACACCCAATGTCAACAAGAATGTGGAGCAACAGTCGCTCTCATTTATTGATGGTGGAGAAACAAATTGAGATGGCCACTTCCTAACTGTTTGGAAGTTTTATACAAAGCAAATATTGTCTTACCAAATTGAGTTGAAAACTTATACTACGAAAACCTATACACAGATGTTTATATCAGCTTTATTCACAATTGTCAAAAATTGGAAGCTACCAAAATGTCCTTAGTAGACGAATGCATAAACAAACTGTGGTATATCCATTCAGTGGAATATTATTTGGCAATAAAAAAGAAATGAGCTATCAAGCCATGAAAAGATATTGAGGAACCTTAAATATATATTGTTAAGTGAAAGAAACTAACCTGATATAATTCCAACCATATGACAATCTGGAAAATACAAAACTAAAGAGATCAAGACAAAACTAAAAGATAAGTGGTTGCCAGAGGTTGGAGAAAGGAGCAAAGAGGTCAACATGTACATTATAGGGAATTCTTAAGGGAGTGAAAGTATTCTGGGTAATACTATCATGCTGGACACCTGATATTATGTTTTTGACAAATCCCATAGAATGCACTACACAAAGAGAAAAGCCTGAGGTAAAGTATGGACGTTGGTTAATAATGATGTATCAATATTGGTTCACCAATTGCAATTAATATGCCACACTAAGATGTTAATAAGTGGGAAAACCACTGTGGGAGCAGGTAAAATTATTTGAAAACTGTCAGTACTTTCTGTTCAATTGTTCTGTAAGTCTAAAACTGCTGTAAGAAATAAAATATACTGGTTTCAGAAAGAATTTATGTATATGTAAATCATACATACATTTTGTGGGAGAGGTTAACCTCTCCCACAAAAAGAATCTCTTTGAAAGAACTTCTTTCCACCTGAAATAGTCTTCTATAAGGGGTAAAAACTTACTAACAGCAGGATAAATGAAAAACAGAAGACACAGCTAGTTTTGACACCACAGGTTACTTACTGGTGATGAGTCCTGCTCCCTCACATGTTGAAATATAGCATTAGAGAAGCACATTGAGGCAAGCATACAAAGCAGGGTTTATTTTAAAAGGGGTAGCATAGACTTCTCCCAGGAGGGAGAAGGGGAGCCATAGCTGGTATCCTGGTTTCCCAAGAAGCGAGGGTGTTTTTCCTTTGTATATGTCCAGGGCTACCTTTGTTCTCCTGCTCTCTTTCCCTCTTCTCTCTCCTTCCTATGTACCTGACTAGGCCCAGGAGATGCTCAGTGGGATGGCCAAAAGGTGAGAAACGGATGGGGGAAGGGCCGGATGAAGCAGCCCAGGACACATTAATTAACAATTTAATAACTCCCTGTAGGGAGGGCCAATTCCTGGGACAGATTACCTTAGCTACAGGTTGGAGCAGGGGCAGGTTCTTGATAAGGGTGGAGGAAGGGCTCTTAAAGATTTAGCATTACAGTCCCTCAGCGGGCAGTCTTCAACTTTCCGGACTCACTCAAATTGGCCTCCTTGATCCAACCCCACTCGATTTACCTATCTATACTGACTGCCTGTCTAAATCTAGCTTCAGTTTGAGTACTGGCATAAGAAAGGGGCTCTAAAGCCAGCCTGATCTAAATTTGAATTGTTTCTTCACTTGTGTTAACTTGGCGAATTATTAAAGCTTCCTTAGTTTCAATTTCCTCATGTATAAAGGAGGAAAATAAAAATTATCTGAGAGAAATATCTTGAATATAATAAAATAGTAGATAATGTAATTATATATAACATATAATATATTTATATATAACATATCAATATTATCTGTGATATAATAACATATAAATGACTTAGAATATACTCTTGCACAAAGTAAGCAATTGATCAATGGTAGTTTTACAATAATAATTGTTAATATAAATATTTTTATTTATATATGACAGCAGAATGCATTACAATTCTTATTACATATATAGAGCACAATTTTTCATATCTCTGGTTGTATACATAGTATATTCACACCAATTCATGTCTTCATACCCATACTTTAGATAGTAATGATCATCACATTCCACCATCATTAATTACCCCATTCCCCCTCCCTTCCCCTCTAATCCTTCTGCCCTATCTAGAGTTCATCTATTCCTCCCATGTTCCCGCTCCCTATCACACTATGAATCAGCCTCCTTTATCAAAGAAAACATTGGCCTTTGGTTTTTTAGGATTGGCTAACTTCACTTAGCATTATATTCTCTAACTCCATCCATTTACTTGCAAATGCCATGATTTTATACTTTTATTGCTGAGTAATATTCCATTGTGTATATATGCCACATTTTTTTTTATCCATTCATCTATTGAAGGGCATCTAGGTTGATTCCATAGTTTAGCTATTGTGAATTGTGCTGCTATAAAAT